AAGCACATCACTTGCTAGCTCCTTGTAATTGCGGACGGCCGTTTTACACATCGGCAGCAGACTCCACAGTCAAGCTTGCAACCCCCCCTTCCTCTACTGCAAACAATTGCTCAGAACAGTGGCTAGCAGTTTCGCACGTCGTCACTCGAAAATGCAATACCAAGCGCAGTGCGCGCTGATTTTTGTCATCGTAGCTACACAGTTCGCGCATCGTCACTGAACGTCGCCGCCAAGTGGCTATTGCACCGGCTGCACTGTCCACGCTTCCGCTCACTCCTCTGTCATATGAAGTGCTGTCAATGAGATTTTGTGATGCGATTTAGATGTGCTTAGAGCCATGCTTAATATTGCCGCAAGCCTCTATGAATGTTTTGAGGCAATGAAAGCCTCGCAGGTTAATGTTTCTGCGAGCGGCTGTATGATGATACATTTCACGGCTAGAGTTGCAAAAGAGCATGTATGAAGCAGGGGCACGAACATTTACATGGCCCTTTCCGTCAATAAATAAACTACTAAAAATTACTGTGCCACCAGTTTCCTGCCCCATAAATTTTTTTTATTTGTAATGAAGGCATAGGCTGTCATGGTGTGAGCCATTTTTCTGATGCAATAAACCTCTCTATATATAAAAAATGTTCAGTGATTATTTATAATAAAGAAGTACTTAAATATGCTAATGAAAGCTCACACAATGAAGATGTGTAATCATTTCAGCATATGGCCTCATCCAATCGCAATCTTTTCTTTCATGCCTATCACACCTCTCCTTCATACAGAGAACTCTGTTTGAAATACGTACTTGTTCTTTGTAGATTAAAAAAAGAGGTTATAAAAAAAGGCCACAATTTGCCAAAAAGGAGAAGCAATGAACCCGATAGCAACAAATTGGAAGGTCACGCGCAGAATGACAAGCAGATAGAAACGTGCCCGTGTTTCTCACGCACAAAAGACGCATGAAACGTACTCACAGGTGACGCGAATAAGCGTCTCAGTTGTTACTTCACTGTGTCTGAGAGGAAGCCCGCCCTTTTTGTATCGCAAACTGAGGCTGTGCAACAATTGCAGTGAAGTACTTGTGCTCGGTTACTACAACAGAATCGTTCTGACGAAACAAAGGCTAACCAAGACGTACGATTGTCCCCACTGCAATACAAAGGCGCGTGATAGAGCGTACGCCCTCTTATTCTCTACGCGAGTCAAAGTATGCGTGAGAGATGAATGAGAGCCACAGCGCGCTCACTGCGCCATCTTGCTGATAATGCTGAAAACACGATAGTCCCCCCCCCCCCCCCCTCCGAGATGCCCGCTAACAGCGGTAATTGGTAGATATGAATAGCTTGCCGTTTGATCGGTGAAGGAAGTACCTCTCGGTGGCTCAGTGGTTTACACCTCGCATTCACGACACTGAGGTGCCACGTTCAATTACGTGCACCGCAGCCGTTTTTCTGGGATTTTTTTCCTTCCTTGAGTTTTCATATATATAGATACGTATACATATATGGTGCATGGCATCGACGCCGGCGGCGGCAAAATCCCGCCGAGAGTGTCCATATAATTGCTATCGCAATAACATGCAACAAAGCTACACTAGGCAGAGGTCGTATGCCTGAGAAGTCAAATACCATAAGACAAACCTAAGATGCCAATTTTCTCGTGTTTTAAAGAAGGAAAGAGAAGTTGGAACCTAAAACGAAGTTTCTTCAATACTGTTTTTTCGGCACTATGCTCAGCACCTGGAGCAGATATCTTGGCAACCACTTCACAGATTGTGATTCTGTTTGTTTTGCAACACTCCTTGAACTGTGCTGCAGGGGGCTGCGATCTTATTTTTTTCATTTCACTTCCTAAAGAACTTTTCGTAGAGCTTCTTGTTTGTAGTACAAATGTGCTCATTGCAGTATCTCTGGAGAGAACGTTAACTATACAGGTTTTAGTGTTGCAAAAAAATTATTTTGAAAATGCAGCCCCCTTCAGCATACATTTAGCTGTGGGTACAATAATTACCAACCTTTTTTTTTTCTTTTATACATCCTCCAGCCCTTTCACGAGGTTCAATGAATAAATAATTTGTATTTCATTAGGTTTTTGCGGTATCCCCTCGAAATTTTTATGGAATATCTACGAGGCCATTCTTACTCTCCGTGCAGATTTTCATCGATATCCGACCAGAAACAAGAAGGTTCATTTTCAAAGGCATGTCCCCCCTTAAGGGGCCCCGTTCGAGTGCTGGGAATGATGGTGTACGTACGTGTCTGCGAGGCTTGTGTTGGCTGGTGTTGAGCGAGGCTTGGCCTCAAAAGTGAATACGACTGCGCAAATAAAGCTTCTGGAAAACAAAACATTTATAAGCCGACCTCATTGACGCGCATTATATTTTAAAATAAAAGTCCACTTATCTTGATGGCACAACTAAATAGCAAAAGAAAGAAACAAATGACATAAAAGTGACGGAGGGAACGCTCGCTTTGTCGTCTGCCTGCCAAGTTTAGCGGCCATTGGTTACTTCTTACGCTTAGTAAATTTCTACAACAACGCAGAAGGTTCCAGTGTTAAATACCGTATTTACTCGCATAATCGGCGCACTCGCATAATAGGCGCACCCCTAGTTTGGCCGCGGAAAATTCAATTTTTTTTAATTCCGCGCATAATAGGCGCACCCGAACTTGGCCGTGATCAGAAACGATTCTACCCCCCAGCGGTACAGTTGGAACGCGGTCCCCGTACCCTGTAGAAAAAAAGAAGGCAAATTGACGAGCAAATAAAAAAAATTCGAAGTGCAACGACCTAACCAACGTGTTTGTCGAAATAAAACTTGAAAAAAAAAAAAAGCGTCCATGAGCGAAAAAAAAAAAAAAACGGCTGTTCCATCAATTACTGGTACCCCCCAAATCGCCGCGCTTTTTGGAGGTCACGTGTACAACGCCGGGGGCTCGATCGCCATCACCACCATCAGAGAAAAAGAAAAAAACGCCATTTTGCAAGCGGTGTGCGTATGTTGTGGTCGTGTATTGAACTTTGGTTCCACCATGGGGAAGTACGTGAGCTACACGGCTGGGTTTAAACTGAAGGCAGTGCAGTACGCGCTGCAGCACGGCAACCGGGCTGCAAGCAGGCATTTTGGCGTTGGAGAAACCAGTATTCGGTACTGGAGGGACCAAGAAGAAAAACTTAAGGCGACGAAGAAGACACGACGGGCTTTCCGCGGTGCCAAGACCGGCAGGTATCCGAACGTCGAAGAGCAACTGGTCCGGCATATACGGGAGCTACGACAAGACGGCTGTGCTGTGTCGTTGGATATTGTGCAGACTGTGGCGCGCAGAATAACCCGAGCGCAGGGCATCGAAGCAAAAGAGTTCAAAGCCAGCTCCGGATGGACAACTCGTTTCATGCGGCGCCATGGCCTTGCACTGCGAAGGCGGACCACCTTGTGCCAGCGCTTACCTGCAGCATATGAGGACAAAGTGGTGGACTTCCACAGTTTTGTTATAAAGCTCCGACAGCAGAAAGACTTCATTTTGTCCCAGATCGGCAACGCTGATCAGAACCCCCTTTGCTTTGATATGCCGTGGAACACGACAGTGGAGGAGAAAGGTGCACGGAGCGTCATCGTCAGAACGTCTGGCGCTGATAAACAACGATGCACCGAAATGCTGGCGGTGACAGCGGATGGGCGTAAGCTACCGCCTTACGTTATTTTTAAACGTAAGACGCTCCCAAAGGCAAAATTCCCTCAAGGCATCTACGTCAGAGTCCAGGAAAAAGGCTGGATGAGCGCGGAACTCATGGTGAATTGGGTGAAAACAGTCTGGGGTCGGCGGCCGGTTGGTCTGTTGTTGCCGTCCATGCTTGTCCTGGACAGTTTTCGTGGGCACCTAGTAGACCGCGTACGAGATGAGCTAAAGGAGCTGCGCACAGATCTGGCAGTGATTCCGGGCGGCCTCACATCGATACTGCAGCCTTTGGACGTGTCCTTGAATAAACCTTTCAAGGACAATGTTCGAAGGCTGTACACCACCTGGATGGCTGGAGGACAACATCAGCTGACTCCAGGTGGTAAGATTAAGAGGCTGCCTGTGGAAATGCTGTGCGCTTGGATCGTGGAAGCGTGGCAGGCGATCTCCGACGAAGTCGTCAGGAAAAGTTTCAAGAAGACGGGTATCTCGAACGCACTGGATGCGAGTGAGGATGACATGTTGTGGGGTGCGGATGATTCGGACACCGAAAACGAATCCCCGCTCGGCGAGGATGAATGTGTGATCTCCGACTCGGACTCCGAATAGGGAAAAGGAAGGAACAGCTACGACTTTTGTGTAAATTTTACGTGTGTGTGTGCAGTTGACGGCTCTCGCTTGTTCATTAAAAGGTACGTAGGTATGTTTATTTTATGCTGAATTAATTGGTAAACGATTAAAGTCGCCTTTTACTTGACAAGTGTGCAGATTTAAAGCGCGAGAACCGAGTTGAAAAAATTTTCGAAAATTTTACCCCGCGTAATTAGCGCACCCCTAACTTCGAGCCGGATTTTCTGAAAAAAAAAAGTGCGCCTATTATGCGAGTAAATATGGTAAAACACATTTCTTTGCAATGAAAAAATAAATAGCTTACTACGTGCTCTTTTAGTAAGAAATGAACCATTTTAATGTGAAGCCAGACGCATCTTCGAGGTATACAAATCAGGGTCAAGTTGGAAGCTCAGATATCCAGTCATTTCCTTGCATCCAGCAGCTCACTAGCGGCAGATTTCCCTCTGAATAATTTTGCGAGAATCTTTATGCCTCAAATGGACCAAAAATGCATCGGACGTATACCTGATTCCCTTAAGGGAATGGTGCAGAAATCATGGCTACATTTTGCAGCAGCACTGGCCCATCTCATGACACCTGCGCTTGTTTCAAACTACTTTCTTTTCCCCTCATAAAACATGACCCAACATTCATTGATCAAATTTTGTGGGGCATTAGGGGGAGTGTGGCTAGGCGTGGTAGCTGAAGTGCACTTACACTGATATGGTCCAGAAGATTGTGTGGAAGCAGGACCCGCATACCCGGCCACGGTGAATCCTGGTGCCGGTGCAGGACTACTAGGCGGTGCACCGTTGGGGTAGCTTGGCGGCGCCCCTGCTGGGTAGCCGCCACCCGGGTAGTACTGGGGTGGGCCATTGATGCCCGGGTACGGGGGTAGCATGTCGCTCATGAAAACAGAGTTGGCTGCAAAGAAATGCACCGAGCAATGAAAAGAAGCCGAGCTTTCTTTGTTTATGGCAACACAAAGCACATACAGAGCGGATAGCTTCAGGTCGCTGCTGCTATCCAAGGTTCTTTGCTATGCACACATCGTGCACAGGCCTCCATCGAAATGCATCCGACATGGCCGAATCAGTCTCACAATTTTCGGTCAGCAGCCAACCATTAAGCCACCGTGATGAAAACTGTTCGTGATTAAATATTCATGCAATGATATCAAACATCAGCTCAGACTTTATGTACACTGTACTATTAGTTTTAAAACTTCACCTGATCAGCCTTTTATTGAACTGGCACACAGACCTCGCTTTATAATATTTCATTGAATTCTGAGCATGCCAGGAAGTGCCACAAGTGTGGCAATATTGAGTGCACCAGAGCTCAGAAAAGCCTGTATCTAGATGATAAGGTTATTAATAATAATACAAAACACAGTAAACAGCAAAAAAATCAAGGCTTGTCGTTATTATCATGATAAAAAAATCTATTTTTTCTTTTTCTTTTATAATGTCGGTCAAACATTTATAATGTCGGTCAAACTTGTGGACATCTTTCCTATGTTGTCACAGACTCTCTAAAATGTTTTTTAAGTCTTTGCCTTCCCCTTATAGAACACCCCACAATCCGCCCAAGCGATAGAGTATACCACTTCTAACACTCTTTCTTTATGTGGTCTGTCTTTTAGATGCAGGAAGAAACGACCGAGCATAGAAGTTGGCTTACACGCCATGTTTATTCCCTGCTCCAAGACAACTTGTTCGAGCGCTTCCCTGATGCCCTAGATGTAGGAAATCCAGACGTGAACCTGATTTGGAGGTGATGGGTCAATGCCCCCTTGAAGGGGTCGGAGGGGGGGGGTGTGTGCTGGCGGGATGAAACCCTCTCAATGGAGGCTTACGAGTAGCCATTGTACAGAAGATCACACCTTATCTTTCGTTCCTCATTTGTCCGGTTGTCCTCCGAAGAACAGACCCTTTGTGCACGAGTGAGTAGACATTTTAACTAGCGTTGAGGTAGCGGCCAGTGTGGGTGGGCTTCCAATGCACGAGAATCGCAGCAAATCTTTGTCCCAAGAACATCAAGGAAGGGCAAACAGATTTTTTTCTCGTCACAGTGAAATGAATGGCTGGTGTAGTGTCGTGCCACCCCTGATGTTATGTATACACACCAGTGTGGTAAGGTTTATGGTGCATGCCGCTAGATAGGACTAAGCATTCACAGTGCTCGTTTTCTTAGCCTACCCGGTGTGGCCACGTACATTATGTGACCCAGCCATGTCACATTGGCCAACCACCTCGTCTGCACATCTGCTCTTGAAAACTTATTTTGAAAAAAAAAAAAAAAGGATACTTGTGTTTGTGAGCTGTCTTTGATGTTAAACCAACAAAAAATATTTTTTCTCGAGGCAAGGATTTAGTGATTCAAGCTGGTTTATCTGCTTTTCGTATTTCTCTTCTTTTTTTATTTTTTTAAACATTTACTTGTTCCTTGTTGTGTGGTGGCGGGCGCTATATACATCGCGCGTTTGATGCTTTCCACATGCCCTGCTCTGTTTATTATTGCCTTTGCACATTTTTGCTGTACATACAGTCAACTGCCGATTTTTCGGACACCCGAATTTTCAGACATCTTCGCGGCACCGCCACGAGCCCTATAGAATCAACGTATAAGGAAGTCTGAAGTTTCGGACGCTCGAACCCCCCCGGAGTCCAATTTTCCGCACTTTTTGACGTGACGGAATGTCGGAAATCACCACTGGCCTCCAGTGGAAACCACCACAACTGCGTCACACGTGATTACGATCGCATAAATGAGTGCGCCGGTCTACTGTGGCGGCATTTGTTGCTTGGACTCGCTGATCGTTAGCGGAGAAACACACATGGCCTCAGAGATTCCTAATACTGGCCGTGTTTATCGTGCAAGTGTGCTTTGCAGACAATCGAAACTATCCACCCGGAAATTTTTTTGCGCCAATAAAGTTCCCTTCGCTTTAGCGCTTGTGCTCGTGCGTGCCACTCTGGCTTCCCGCGCAGCGCTATCGCGAAGCATTTCACCACTTCGAACTACAACTAACCGTCACACACCGATTTCGACTGGCCCCGCTTGCTATCTTGAACGTTTACCAGCACCACCTCCGGAGTACCCGAGGCACCGTCGCCTGCCGTTGCGCCGTTTTGTTTACGCAGCCCACATGGTGCTTGGCGAGCCTAGTGCCTGGTTGTGCGATCGTGTGAAGTGTGCTCTGCAACGCTAAGCCTAGGTGCTTCGACGCTCGTCAGCAAACTCCTTTGTTCACATCATGAGGATTTCGCTTGCCTGCGATGGCCCCCACTCAGCCTTCGTCGTCCTCGACGATGGCATCGAAGCGCGGAAAACAGTACAGTCGGTTAACGATGGAGAAGAAAGCTGCCATTATTAAGTTAGTGAAGAGTGGCCGATCGCAGGCTGACGTGAGCAAGGAGTTGGGCATTTCCAAGCAGTTTCTGATTTCCTGAGGAACTAAGACAAGATCTTCAAAGCGGCCGAAAAACCGTCTGGTGCCCAAAAGATGAATGCAAGCCAAGGTGTTCATCCAAAGCTTGAGGACGCTCTCGTCGTGTGGCTTAGTTCAATGATTGCCAAGCAATTGCCAGTCTCGGGCGGCATCTTGAAACAAAAAGCGGAAACTGTCGCGCTTCGAATGGACATCACAGATTTTAAGTTCAGTGATGGATGGCTGAGAAACTTTAAGCACCGGAATGACCTGAAGTTCAAGAAAATGTGTGGCGAAAGTGCGCCTGTTGACAGTGCAGTTATTGCGCAGTACCGCAGTGGAAAACTCCAGTCTTTGTTGCCGCAGTTCTCTGCTGACAACAATTCCAACTGCGACAAAACTGGCTTGTTTTACAAGCTGCTGCTGGAAAGAACACTCGCTTTTGCTGGTGACGCATGCCATGATGGCAAGCATAGCAAAGAACGGTTGACCGTTCTTGTTGGCAGCAACATGTCTGGCAGTGAGAAACTTCCTTTGTTAGTAATCGAGTAGTCCAAGAGCCCGAGGTGTTTTAAAGGGGCAATGCTGCCAGTGTTATACGAAGTCAACATAAAGGCTCGGGTAACGCAGCAGTTGTTCGAGAGTTACGTCCGCAGGTTGGACAGGAAGTTTGAACAACAGAACAGACGTGTTCTGCTCTTTATTGACAACTGCCCTGCTCATGGTCACATCAATAACTTGAAGGCTATCCAGCTGGAGTTCATGCCACCCAACACGACTGCAATCCTACAACCAATGAACCAAGGCGTTATCCCTAATTTGAAACTTTTGTACCGTTGACGTATACTCAACCCCATGGTGCTGTGCTCGGAAAACGGAAAAGGCTACAGCGTTGACCTTTGGTCTGCTGTCGAAATGCTTGCAGACGCATGGAAAGCAGTAACACAAGACACGCTTCGCAACTGCTTTCGCCACGCGGGCTTCGTACTCGACACCGAGGCAGCAGACTTGCCTGAAGAAAGCGACAGCGTGACTGACTTGTGCCCTCTCATGAACGATCATGTTACGTAAAAATGACACGAGGCGTGTCTATTTAAAATCTATATTCAAACTGATGCGTATGGCGTCGACTAAGATGGAAGACAGCATGCACAACTGACAGACCACTTCCTCAATGTCGTCTTCTGACCGCTGATACGTCAGCTACGTAGCATTACCCCCCCCCCCCCCCCCGGCGGTAAAAGCGCCGTCTCGGTGCACATTAACTACGGTCCTTAGTAGGCACGTGGATAAGGTTTTAGCCTGCTGACGTGCACAACATCACTGGGTGTGGTTGCAGGCAGGCTTGTGGTCTCAGATGCAGGAATGATCTCATAGGTGACGTCGGTTACCTGGTGGATGATATGGTGAGGACCATGTAGCGAGATAACAACTTCTCTGATAAGCCAACTCGACGAACTGGGCATCACAGGATCACAGGAGAACAAGAGAACCGGGTGAGAAGTGAACGTCAGCATGCCGGCTGTCGTAGATGGCTTTCTGGGTGGCTTGCGAAGCCGAAAGTCTAGAGCGGGCGATCTGACGTGCGTGGTTGGCATGAGCGATAGCGCCGAGTGCATATTCGGTTGACGGCGTTGTAGTGGTTGGAAGTAGGGTGTAAAGTGGTAACTTCAGATCACGGCCATAAAGCAAATAAAAGGGTGAATAACCAGTAGTGTCGTGGCGCGAAGAATTGTACGCGAAGGTGACGTGAGGTAGCGCCAGGTCCCAGTCATGGTGGTCGGAGGACACATACATTGCGAGCATGTCCGTTAGGGTCCGATTTAGCCGTTCGGTAAGGCCATTTGTTTGGGGATGGTAGGAAGTGGTCAGCTTTTGGTGCATCGAGGAATAGCGCAGAAGATCGTCGATCACACGGGACAAAAATGCCTGGCCACGATCCGTGAGTAATTGGCGAGGAGCGCCATGGTGTAGGATGACGTCGTGGAGCAAAAAATCCGCAACGTCAGTAGCGGTGCTGGTGGGGAGCGCTCGAGTGATGACATACCTAGTCGTGTAGTCTATAGCAACGGCAACCCACTTGTTGCCCGATTTCGACTCGGGAAAAGGACCGAGAAGATCTATACCAACACGGAAGAAAGGTTTGGTTGGGATGGAGATCGGTTGAAGAAGTCCAGCCGGGGGCGCAGCAGGTCGCTTCCTACGTTGGCATTTATCGCAGGAGGGCACGTAACGGCGAACGGACCGGGCGAGACCGCACCAAAATAAGCGGCGACGCACGTGGTCATACTGTCCGAGATACACCCAGATGACCAGCAGTTGGTTCATCGTGAAGCTCGTGCAGCACGGTTGAACGCAAATTTTTCGGCACGACAAGAAGGAGCTCAGGGCCATCTGGCTGGAGGCTACGACGGTACAGCGTGCCATTCAGGAGGACGTACATGCGAAGTGACGTGTCGTTCAGAGCAGATTCGAGACGGTCAATAAGTTG